ATATCATATAAATCACAAACCAGTGACAAAAAAAAAAAAAACGTTTAAGAGATTTCAATATGTACACAAAGATTTCTTAGAATTTGAGCATTTAAAGTGTCTGATATATAGAGTTGCAAGATATGGAAGCTTGTTTCCGTTTATCTCACAATTCTGAGTTACAAAATTCTGAATTTCTTTCTCAGAATTCCGTGAAAAAAGGAAATTGACATCAGTAAGGCATTGTAAAGATGCATGTGTTTCTATATGAATAACCACCAAACAACAATTACTGAGAGGAAGTAAAAATGAAATGCATATTCTGACAGAAATAAAGAACAGGCACACATTTTATAAATGTGTTCCTGTACGCTCTTACAATATAAAGGTTTGTTATTTGTGTTGATGGTTCCATGAAGATCCTTCAACATCCATGGAATCTCTATATTATAAAAAAGGTCCTTTATATTGGGAATGTCCTAAAAAATGTCCTTCACACTAAGAAAAAAATGTCAAACATGAAAATTACCCCGGATAACCTACACACTTCCAGCGAGATTCAGAAGTGCGCATCTGGAGGACACTTTACTATCCCATGATGCAACTGATGCTGGTAGGTCACGTGATAATGACAACATGATGGATGTAGTACATCCAGATTACATTCATACTACACACATTCATACTATATAGAACATACTTTTTTAGAGGTCATATTCAAAATCAGTACATACTCAAGAGGGCATGCAGTTTTGGACACAGCCCTAGTGTTGTGCCAGAAGTGCATCCAATCAGATTTTTTATATCACTTAAAAAAAAACAACTACAAACAGTCATAAGTTTATGAGAGTGATATTCCTGCATGATTTACTACAGTTACACAGTTAATAGAGAAGAGGAAACCCTTAGACATTAATTCGATTGTTCTGTTGTTTATTTCAGAGAAGCATTGTGATGTTTCATGACACGCGTTTGATCTTCATGCTGATGGATTTCATACCGACATCATGATTCCTCCATGTTGACCAAATATTTCCAATAGCGAAATGGGTGGCATCTTCACCCCATAAATACACACCACTGGGGTTTGTCTCCAGACAGTCTTTGTACCAAAATGCCCCGAGACGGAGTTTGGCACAGTTACCTTCACGGACATCTTGGTCTTTGTCTAAGGTGGTGAACTTCTGTCCATTATGAAAAGATAAAGAGTCGCCTGCAAAGAGGAAGAGCATAATTTAGGACAATATCTCAATGGAAATGATTGTAAACAGTGTTGCCAAAAACGGTAATTTTTTTCTCATTGGGACGTAAGCTATTTTCAGTATTTACAGGGGTTAGTCGGTGATTTTATTGCCGTCTGAATCCAGAATGTTGGTGTTTTTCTCCCACCACCTGCATAAAAATCCCCGGCCTGCTGTTTTTTTGACAAATACCAAGGTCGTGTGGTTATTTAATTGCCGTCCAAATTCACATCTCTGAGTTTACAAGAAGAAATTGATTCAGAATTCACCGTTTTTGACTACTGCTGAACACCGTACGGTAACTGTTGCACTTCGCTGTAATTTGCATCCATATTTATTACTGAAATGTTGGAAATACAATTTTAAAATATGTATTATATACAATTATAAACAGAAAAATATAAACCAAGCGGTTTTATGTTTACCGTATGTAAATAAGAGGTTGCGTTAAGTTTTTTCTCCTGATCTCCACATTTTTAACGACATTTCAACTATAGCGTGTCTGTTTTCCGATGTTTAACAGGAGATTTAATAATTTTAAAATAAATAGGATATTATTAAATATGAATTTATGTTATTCACAGCAGACAGTAATGTGCTTGGCCACATGAGCAGAGCGTTCCCGAGATCGTAGGATCACAGAATCCGCTTCTCCACTTCTTTTTTTTGCTCCCCGACACAATGCCTTAAATTCCCCTTATTAAAACAACACGACTGTCCAAATTAGTCCAATTTATTGCATTAATATAACATATTTATTGCATTAATATAACAATTAAACTACAAAGCTGGCACGGATGTATGCATAATTTCAAACTAAATTCACTATGACTGTTGTTTCAGTGAGCTGCATGTAGGATACACGTATGTGAGAAAGTTGTTTCTGCGACAGCTCCGGCTCTCTGAGGCACGGTATAATACTTCAGTGTCCGAATTGCTCGCTTCATTTCCTTCACTTCTTGCTGAAACAGTACACTTAACTGCAGTGCACTATATAGGGATCAGTAATTACTCTATAAAGTATTGCATTACTTATTACTATTTCAATGATGAACTGCCTTTAACTGAAAAATGAGTGTTTACTATTGTCACTTTGCATTATTGACACACTATTTTCCTAATTAATGCTGTACAGTTGCTTTGACATAATCTGTATTGTTAAAAGCGCTATATAAATAAAGATGACTTGACTTGACTACTAATTACCTTTGAAGTCCAATATTAACTGTGACCAGTTGAACAATACATGAATCTGTAACTTTATATATTTTTTTCAAATAAATGATGTAAAATTGCTTTATGTATTCAAAGCAATTACATCAGAAGTAACTGTAATTCAATTACTTAAAAAAAGAGTAATCACTCATTTTTTCAAGGGAAAGTAATTAAATTACAGTAATTAGTTACTTAGTAATGCATTACACCCAACACTTAAATGACAGTGTTTTACCTGCTCCTCCATTCTCGAACCCTGAAACATGCAGTCTATATCCATCAGCTTCAGGATCCACAGAGAAGGATGAGTACTGAGCGAAAACTTTATTTCCTTGAAAGTCCTCCAGATCCACTCTCAGCTTGTAACTCCTTTTATATGTCATCTGGTACATGTTCTCCAGCCCTGTTCATACACACACATGAAGAACACGTTCAACCAAACACTGGACATGAACATCCACACAAACACACACACACTGTGAGATCTTACCCAGCCAGTATTCACTCTCCACAATCCCAAATCCTCTCTTGTAGTGATTCCACGGCTGATAGAAATTCACACTGCCGTCTACTCTCCTCTGAATCACCTGTGATGGGTTTATATAGAATATATGATTCATAATGAATGTTCTGATGTGTGTTTAATGATCTAAAGTCACTTTCATACCGTCCATCCTCCTTTGTCTTCATCGTTCCCATCTGAGATCATCTGACAATAAACCGAGACAGGAACATCACCTGCTGGATAGATGGAGTAAATCCCACTGACTGTTTCTCCTGAGTTATAAACATCAGAACAATCATTTTCATCCTGACATTCACTCATCAGTACAACCGGCAGAAGAGCCGCCAAAAACACCATCATCTACACGAGACAGAGAGAGAGAGAGAGAAAGAGATGAATATCACACTGAAATGACGCTGAAAACATCTCTAAGAATGTAGAGTTATTGATGAACTTACTGCCATCTTCTCAATCTCTCCTCAGTAGATCACAGCAGAGATCTGTTTTAACTAGACAAAAATAACAGAAAATTTTTTATATTGTCTTCTTTGACTTTTTATTTTGTGAAAGTTGTATAAACGTCTAAATGTTCTGTGAGGTAAATGAAGAATAAAGCAGAAACTCACCGTTTGTGTTCTTCAGTCTGACACAAACACTCTTTATCTCTGTCAGATTCTCAGGCTCCTCCTCGGAGTTAAAGAAGAAATTTACATTACAAAACCCATATTTTGGAGGCAAATGAAATGCAAGTTAAACCTGCAGTCACGAGCTGTATTTGCTGTGCTTGTAGTTCATTGGCCCCGAACTGCTGCTTTTCAACTATATTCTTGTTCTTGTTCTTCTTATTATTATTATTCTTGAATGGAAGTCTATGGCAGTGCATAGAACTATTTGATCAAATATTGTGATGCACCTTTAATGCTCAGGACAGCAGGGTGAGAGGCAGAAACCAGTAGGAAATCATAAACCATGTGTTCTAATGTTGTAAATATTGAAACTATCATTTAAATAGCATTACATCGTGTGCTATATCGAACATTTTTTGTCTCGTTATCAATGAAGGTGTACCGGCGATAAATATCAATATCGTTTTATCGCCCAGGCCCAATTTCTGCCATATGCACATTAACTGACAATCACCACTGATAAGCTACTACTAAATATATTTAGATTTAGATTTAGATTTAGTCATTTAGCAGAAGCTTCTATCCAAAGCGACTTACAAATGAAGACAATAAAAGCAGTCAAAACTAACAAAAGAGCAACAATATATAAGTGCAAATGACAAG